CGCCCCCGTCAACATTCTGGAGGGCAGTTGCTAGACCCAGGTCACTAAAGGAAGCAAAAACCCTTAGGTAGAGCAGTCAGTCCCCTTGAATAGTCTTTCATGATCTCACATTAGACAACTTTCTAAGAGTATTTCACCTAAGGAAGATTGCATTTTTGCTTTTAATTAACTGTAATCATGTGAATTAAATGTCCAGGCATGCTCATGTGAGCCCATATTCATTTCTGTGTCCTCTACTTCAAGGTTCACATACAAAGTTACTCAGCTCAAAAGATGGTGTACATTGCCTACCAAGTAAGTTAAATTGAGAAAATGAGATAGAAATGAATATTCTGATCACTACTAAATCACCACAGTACCTAGCACATAGTACTCAGTCAATAAATATTTGTTGAGTAAGTGGATGAAAATGCCACATACCAATACACATACATCTTTCTTCTCAATAGCCCCCCTTCATATCCACCCCTTCCTTTCCATTACTATCCATAACCACCTTCTGAGTTAATTAAAGTCCCTACCATCAAACACTAGTTAAAACAGGCTACTAACTGTGGTGCCTGGCTGGCTCCATTGATTGAGCATGTGACTTTTTATCTAGGGTTTGTGAGTTCAAGCCCCATGTTGGGCATAGAGCCTACTTTAAAAAAAAAAAAAAGACTACTATTTTCCCTGTCTCTAAACTTTTCCTCCTTCCCATCTCAATCCAACTAGAACACTAGATGAATCTTTAAAGAGCTGCCTATTCACAAACCGTAAAATGTTCCCTGCTGTATTCTGAATAAGTTGCATCTTCCTTACTAAGGTAACGTGTACATTTAACCATCTGGCCTCAAATTTGGAAACATAAATATCCTCCCAAGTTCTCTAACGTAATTATGTTCTAACAAATTAATCTGGAATATCAAGACATACATCATGCTTTCCTAACTCTAGACCTTTGCTTTTTATCATGCTCTCAGGCTGGAATTCTCTCCTATAGCTTCACCTGTTGAAGCACTAGCTAGCAGTTATTCAAGCCTGAGCCTTTTTTATTTTTAAATTTTTTTTAAATTTTAAGTTGGCTCCACACCCAACATGGGACTTCAACTCATGACTCCAAGATCAAGAGTCACATGCTTTACTGACTGAGCCAGCCAGGTGCCCCTCAAGCCTAAGCCCTGACACCACCTTCTTTCCAATGCCTTTCCCGGGTCACCTGGGCTTGGTGTCCTCCTCTTCTCTGCAATCACATTTATTTTTAGAGTTTATGCTCATACTGCCTTATGCTGTAAAGATGGTTCAATATTAATAAGCTGGATCTTAGCTCTTTCACCAGACTAGGAACTCTTTGAAAACAGGAGCCATGCCTTTTCAAGCTATTCTTTCTGACACAGTGTTTGGCATCATGTATAGTTGATCCTTGAACAATGCAGGTGTTAGGGGAGACAACCTCTTCCCTGCCCTGTGCAATTGGTTGAAAATTTGTGTATAACTTTTGACTCTTCCAAAACCGAACTACTAATAGCATGCTGTTGACCAGAAGCCTTACTGATGACAAATAGTTGGTTAACACGTATTTTGTATGTTACATGTATTATATACCATATTCTTACAATAAAGTAAGCTAGAGAAAAGAAAATGTTATTAAAATCATGAGGAAGAGAAAACCCAATTACAGTACTGTAGTATATTTATATATATAAAAAAATTCCACATATAAGTGGGCCCATGCAGTTCACGGGTCAACTGTAGACACTTGACAAATCAGTGGTTCCCAAATGCTTCCATTCACAAGACCCCCATTAAAAACAAACAATAGGTGCCTGGGTGGCTCAGTAGGTTAAGGGTCAGACTTAGGCTTAGGTCATGATCTCACTTGATCCTGAGTTAGATCCCCACTTTGAGCTTTGTACTGACAGTGTGGAGCCTGCTTCGGATCCTCTGTCCCTCTCTCTCTCTGCCCCTCCCCTGCTCCTGCTCTCTCTCTCAAAAATAAACAAACAAACAAACAAACAACAAGGGCACCAGGATGGCTCAGGAGGTGGAGGGTGAGACTCTTGATCTCGGGGTTGTAAGTGCAAGCTCCATTTTTGGCGTAGAGATTGCTTAAAAGTAAAATCTTAAAAAAAAAAATTGTATTTAAGTTTATTACACTTACAGTAAAGTGCACATACCAAAATGTTTGGCTCATTCAATTTTCATAGACATACTCATGCAACTAGCCCCCAAAAGCCCCTCTAGTGCCCTCTTTTTGAGAACTGTATTTTAACGTATTGCACACAATATTGTAGACTAGGTATAACAATAGTGAGAACATGTATTTGTCGACTCCTTATAATATCTCTGCACCATCAGTCCTCCATTTCTTTCAAAGAAAGACACCTCCAGACACACACTCATGGACTGGAAATCAATGTAATTAATAGTTGTATCTTTGTAAATGAATGCATGAAAACAGAAATCTGCAACACCTCCAGTATGTTAGTATCTAACCATCAAGAGGCTTTAGTTATTTTTCATTAAAAAAATTTTTTAATGTTTATTTATGAGAGAGACTGAGAGAGAGAGAGAGAGAGAGAGAGAGAGAGGGAGGCAGAGAGAGGGAGACACAGAATCCAGAGCAGGCTCCAGGCTCTGGGGTGTCAGCAGAAATTCACTAACTGGGAGATCATGATCTGAGCTTAAGTCTTAGCTTAACCGTCTGAGCCACCCAGGTGCCCCTAATTATTTCTCATTAACCTGGGGGCACCAGGCTGGCACAGTCAGTAGAGCATGTGACCCTTGATCTCCAGTCAGGAGTTCAAGCCCCACACTGGGTGCAGAAATTACTTAAAAGTAAAATCTTCAAAAGGATAAAAATAAAAATAAAAATCTGTACTACGCTTGCTGTTCTATTTGCGCTTTTTTACATTATCGCCGTCTTAACTGGAAGGGTCAACGCACAGGATTCATCCCTTTATATTCAACATGGCCGCATGCGCATCTATAAGCAACATGGCCGTTCTGCCAGACACTAATATGGCAGCCACAGCCTCACGGCACCCGGAAGAACGAGAGAGCTCCGATAGAAAATATTTCCGCCATCCTGCCAACACCTAAGGTGGCTCTCATTTCAGCTTCAAAACGAGCGGGAAACGGGCAATAACTTCCCGTCCAGCGTATTCCCCAGATCTCTTTCCGGTTAGCCTGGGGGTGTCCGCGTGAGAACAGGAGATTTCCTGCTGCCGGGGCTGGGAGGTGCTAGTCCGCCGCGCCTGATTCGAGACGTGTCTGGGCTGAGAAACTAGAATGTCGGACACGTGGAGCTCTATCCAAGCCCACAAAAAGCAGCTGGACTCGCTGCGAGAGAGGCTGCAGCGGAGGCGGAAGCAGGACTCGGGGCATTTGGGTGAGGCGCGGGGCTGTCCGGGCGGATACTTAGCCAGGGAGGGTGGGAGGGAACCCTGGCGAAAAAGAGCTCCCGAGTCGGTGCCCTTCCCCCGGAGTCCATTTATTTAATGCCTGGTACATCAGTACTCTCCTCGCCCTGAGCAGCACAGATGCTTCGTCCTCCTGGACATGGTCGCGGTTCCGTTCGCGGGCCTTGTTTCTTCCAGTTCACTTTCTTGGGACGGAAGCCTGGTCCCCACCCCCGTCCGCTTGGCCGACTCCTCTGAAGTCCGCGAGAACATTGGCTTTGCTAGGCCTCTCAGCCCCCTATCCCATGAAGCAGTAAGTCCCCCTTTTTTGTTGCTCCTATGGCGCTTTGTTCTTCCCTGCGTTACAGCGACTGCTTTGTCGTGGTCATTTCTTTGCCACTGTGGGCTACGTGAGAGCAAGGTCCGAACCTTTGTACCCACAGTGCTTACCTCGGTGACCCTCACAGAGTTGCTAAATGAGTAGAGGAACTGGTATGGTCTTAGCCATTTACATCCCAAGCAGATATCTGGAAACATTTATTTTCGGGTTTTACACGTTTTCTCTCTTCCTGTTGCCCGCTATGTCACAGTCCTAAAACTTGAAGGAACCTCCGATGATTGTCCAGTTTTATCTACCCCCACCCCAGCACAAGCCCTGGCTTATTTAAGGCAAATCAGTTAACGAGATCTACAAGGATAGTCCATGTCACCCTTGTGGTACTTTGTTCCAATGTTTATTTGTATACTGGAGTCGATCTCTAAATCTTGTCTTGGTACATATTAGGTCCCTGTACTCATGTTCTGGCCCTTGGAACTAGAAGATGTCCTGTCAGGACACTCACACCATAATAAACAAACATCTATGGAGTATTTACAGTGTGCATAAGTCTAGTTAGACAAATATAAGTAACACATTGTTCCTGCCCTCAAGGGGTTTAAAATGTAGTTGGGGTTAAAGGATCGATACGTCTAAAAAGTCAGAACTTAAATGTGATATATGTAAAATGCTGAATGAATGAGTCCACAATAAGTACAGGGAAGGGAAGAGTAAGGAGTCGGGTTTAGTCAGTAAAGACATGAAAGGAATTAGCACTTGAGATTTGATCTTGATGGTTATATAAGACTTAGATAATTAAAGAGAAATTAAGAGGGCCGGGCAAGTAGAGGAAGAATTACAAGTCAGATGATCAGGGATTAATTAGTAGTCAATTTTATTATTTATTTATTTATAAATGTTTATTTCTTTATTTACGAGAGAGACAGTGGGAATGAGCAGGGGAGGGGCAGAGGCAGAAAGGGAGAGAGAGATTCTGCACTGACATCATGGAGCCCCATGCAAGGCTCAAACTCACTAACTGAGATCATGACCTGAACTGAAACCAAGAGTCAGTAGCTTAACTGACTGAGCCACCCAGGCGCCCCTAATCGTCAATTTTAAATTCAACTTCACTTTCCATGGTAATAACCATACTTTGGTATTAACCAAACTTTGTGCCATATGCAAACCTAACTACTAGAATGTCGATATTTCATACAGGTTCTTGCTAAACATGTTTAATAATTTTGACAAGAGTGTATTCTCTCTTGAATGTAAGTATCTTTTTTTGGATGTAAATATCTCATACACCCACTTAATAATATATGATTAAGATTCCTAGTACATCTGCCTGATAATATGGTTAAGATAAAATATTTTAAAGTTTGTGCTTTCACTGTTCCTTCTTTGAATTATTTTGGTTATTACAAAGAATTGATTTGAGCAATAAGATTCTTAGGAAAACATCATGAGACACACTCTATTTGTTTACTAATCAATTTTTCATGTAAGATATAACCAAAGTCTTGCTAAAAATTCAGATCATTCTGTTCTTTTCTCACAGGAAATAAAAATTTTCTTAACTACCTCTTGATTTTTATAGCATTACTGAAATCTGGTACCTAATTGTTTACTACTAAGCTCAATGAGAAAAGGCAAGGATAACCATGACCTGAAATGTATCCATATCATTAACAAATACAAAATACCATGGACAAAGAATTACTGGGAGACTTTCCTGAGTTTGGCAGTTTTTTATGTTTATTTATTTTTTTGAGAGAGAGCAGGAGATAGAGATGGGCAGAGAAAGAGGGAGAGAGAATCCCCAGCAGACTCTGTGCTGTCCCCACCGAGCCTGATTCTGGGCTCAGTCCCATGACTATGAGATCATGACTTGAGCTGAAATCGAGTCAGATGCTTAACTGACTGAGCTACTCAGGTGTCCTAGTTTGGCATTTTTATTTTTATTTTAAATTTTTAAAAATGCTTATTTATTTTTGAGAGAGAGAGAGAGACAGGGTGCAAGCAGGGCAGGGGTAGAATGAAAGGGAGACACAGAATCTGAAGCAGGCTCCAGGCTCTGAGCTGTCAGCACAGAGCCCAATGTGGGGCTCCAACTCAGGAACCATGAGATCATGACATCATTGGAAGTTGATGCTTAACTAACTGAGCCACCCAGATGCCTCTAGTTTGGCATTTTTTAAGTACTTTTTTTTTTCCAATTGTGGCATAAAACTTAAAATTTACCGTCTTAACCGTGTACAGCTCAGTGGCTTGACATATATTCACATTATGGTGCAACCAATCTCCAGAACTTTTTCATCTTGCAAAACTGAAATTCTGTACCCATTAAACAATAACTTTCTATTTCTCCTTCTGCCCAGTCCCTGGCAACCATCATTCTACTTTTTGTTTCTGTGAGTTTGACTGCTCTAGACACCTCATGTAAACAGAATCATGAAATATGTGTCTTTCTGTGACTGGCTTATTTCACTTAGCATAATATCCATAAGGTTCATCCTATTGTAGCATGTGTCATAATTTCTTTTTAAAGCCAAAGAAAAGTCCACTGTATGTCTGTACAGTGTTTATTCATTTATCTGGTGGTGGATACTTGGGTTGCTTCTAACTTTTGGCTATTGTGAATAATGCTGTTGTGAGTATTGGTGTACAAATATCCCTTCAAGATCCAGCTTCAGATTTTTTGGGTATGTATCCAGAAGTGGAGTTGCTGGATCATATGGTAATTCTATTTTCAGTTTTTTGAGGAACCACCACATTGTTTTCCGTAGAAATAATGTACAGCTTTTGGAAATGAAGATTATTACCGTGAATACGTTTTTATTATATTTTAATTGAAACAAAATGGACTTGGCCAGGCTTAGAACATGGTAAATATATGAACTGCTCAATATATTTCATCAGTGGGATTGAAGATGTGCATATAGATGTTAACATAGTTTAGCAAATTAGTAGACTGGCTATGTATAATTAATGACAGTATAATTTACATACAATGTTATATCACTAGACTGGCCATATTTTTAGGTCTTTGAGCTAATAGTATTTTGTTTATCATCAGTGGAGCTTTTAACCCAAGAGTAAGCTCAAGTATTATGTATTACTTTGTTGAACACAGCACATAGAAATTTTCATTGGATTGGAGGCAGAGTATTAACATACTTGCCAGCATAGTGGAAGCACTCAGTAAATGTACTGAAATAATAACTGAACAAATACTTTCTGAAGGAGTTGTAATCCAGGGGTTCTTAGTCATTTTCTGCCAGTAAACCATTTTAAGAATGACAAAACATTGGAGCCTTTTCCCCAAATGAGTATGTACATGCAAGAATTTGCATGTGACTTCAGGAAATTCAATATTAAACATGAGCCTCTCCTCCCAATAACCTTAAAAGGTATTTTCAGCTCTAATGTCTTGAATGCCATGAAAAGAATACTGCCAGGAGGTGTTACTAACACAAGGATTCATAATCAGAATCATGTCACCAGCTTACTTTTTAGAGGAGCAAGTATTAGGGGCACCTGGGTGGCTCAGTGGGTTAAGGGTCTGACTTCGGCTCAGGTCATGATCTTACAGTTGGTGGGTTTGAGCCCTACTCACATGCTGTGAGTGCGCAGAGCGTGATTCAGGGCTCCATCTCACAAGCTGTGAGATCATCACCTGAGCTGAAATCAAGAGTTGGATGCTTAACCAACTGAGCCACCCAGGCTCCTCTTTAAACATTTTTTTAAAATGTTTATTTATTTTGAGAGAGAGAGAGAGAGAGAGACCATGAGCAGGGGAGGGGCAGAGTGAGGGAAAGAGAGAATCTCAAGCAGGCTCCACGCCCAGCACAGAGCCTGACTAGGGGCTTGATGTGAGATCAAGACCTGAGTTGAAATCAACAAGAGTTGGACCCTTAACCAACGGAGCCACCCAGGAGCCCCTATTTTTTAATATCTTTCTTAAGGTGGTTTAAAAAAAAGGTGTAATAGGGATTATCTATAAGGAGCTTAGGCTTTTTAAATATTTCATTTATTTATTATTATTTTGTTACATCTTTTTTATTTTTTATGTTTATTTATTTGTTTTAATATTTATTTTTGAGGGGCACCTGGTGGCTCAGTTGGTTGAGCATCCGACTTTGGCTCAGGTCATGATCTCACAATCTGAGTTCGAGCCCCGCGTCTGGCTCTGTGCTGACAGCTCGGAGCCTGGAGCCTGCTTCAGATTCTGTGTCTCCCTCTCTCCCCCTTCCCCCACTCATGCTCTGTCTCTGAATCTGTCTGTCTCTCTCTGTTAAAAATAAACAAACATTAAAAAAAATTTAATATTTATTTTTGAGAGAGAGAGAGACAAAGTGTGAGCAGGGGAGGGGCAGAGAGAGAGGGAGACACAGAATCTGAAGCAGGCTTCAGGCTCTGAGCTGTCAGCACAAAGCCCGATGCAGGGCTTGAACCCATGGACCACGAGATTATGACCTGAGCTGAAGTTGGACACTTAACCAACTGAGCCACCCAGATGCCCTGTTAGGGCTTTTTTTAAAAAACAAATCTCTTACTAATGAAGCAGCATATGTAAGGTACCTGGCACAAAGTTTGAATATGAATTAAGGGGGAGAGGTAAGGGATAATTTATGGCTTACCTAAAATATTCACCATTGCAGAGTTACATGACAAAGGACCTATATACTGAGTATTGTTTGAAAACTTAACTACATCTGGAGACTCACTGTCCTCTCCTTTCCTTTCTGAATCTCCTGGACACTCTATCTGCTCTCTCTCTGTGTCTTCAATAAACTCTGTTCTCACTTTCAGAAAAACCAAAAAAAAAAAAACCAAAAAACTCACCTATATCTTCCTTTAGCCCCATGTTCTATAATCAGAGTTTTTGGTTTAGTAACTTATATGATTTGCTCCCTTTGGCATACTCTGTGAGTTAAAAATGTATAATGGGTTATATTTGTATACAGTGTATAAAACAAAAATATGATGAGTTATATCAGTATATAATATATAAAACAATTTGTGGATGTAATGCCTGAAATCCTAATTTTAAAATACCTTGTGTGTCCTCTGCCTTAATATTTATCATTGATTGTGCTTAGTTAGGTTGCTTAATGAAAGAAATTTTTGGTTACTTCAAAAACTTTAAAGCTTAACTGATTTTTTGAAAAAAGTCTCAGTCTGTTAAGCATCTGACTTCAGTTCAGGCCATGATCTCACAGTTTGGGTCCTGTGTTTTGTTCATGAATTAGAGCCCCATGTCGGGATCTCTGCTGTCCGTTGAGGAGCCTGCTTCAGGTTCTCTGTCCCCCTCTCTCTGCCCCTTTCCTGCTCATGCTCTCTCTTTCTTTGTCAAAAATAAACATTAAAAAAGAAAAAGCTCAGCATATTATCCTAGTGTAAATTGTAATTGGGGTATTTTATTTCAAATTTACTGGATTCCTTGAATCGCTGAATCCCAAGGACTTCACTAGTTTAATCCTGTTCAGTGCAGAAATTTTGCCCTTAGGCTTCCAAGTAAGCTAATAATAATTGTCGCTTTTATTTCTTCTTTCTTTCATTTATTTTTTTTGAATGTTTGTTTTTGTTTTTGAGAGGGGCTCGAATTCACAAACTATGAGATCATGACCTGAGCTGAGATCAGTGCCACTCAAATTGACGGCCCCACCCCCAGAGAAGAGCCCCTTTTCTTTCTGGTATTTTTTAGCTTAAGTTCACTTTAACACCTCTTGAGATTCTTTCTCTCAAACCAGACCGCTTCCATAGCTTCAATGGATTAGCCCCACCATGTGTGCCTTTCCCACATATCTCTTTGCCAAACAAAACAAAGGACTTGTATCAGTTTATCTGTATACAAAGTTCTACTACTCTCAGATGGCAGAATATATGCAAAGGAATCATAAATGTCAGGAAGAAAGTTCCTGTGGGGTTATTCTAACATTTCCATAGTGAAATAGATTGTAAGTCTGTTTTTCTAAATTCCTGCTTTGCTATTTTACATAAAATGTATATCTAGCAAAGGTGTTTAGAGTATAAGTTCAAAGCTCCATTCGCCTTAAGAATTTAAAAAGTACTTTTTTTTTTTTTTCTATTACACCACTTTTCAATGTTTATTTTTTTAGGGACAGAGACAGAGCATGGGAGGGGGGGGGGAGGGCAGAGAGGGAGACCCTGAGGCTCGGAAACAGGCTCCCAGGCTCTGAGCCATCAGCCCAGAGCCTGACATGGGAGAACTAACTCCTGTTGGACCCTTGAGATCGTGATGACCTGGCTGAAGTCGGACGGCTCTTTCCGACCTTCATGAAAACTAACCAAAATTTTTTTTAATGTTGCTGGTGGAGAAGACAGGCACACATGGGGAGGGCGAAGGCTGAGCAAAATCTGAAGCAGGCTCCAGGCTCCGTGCTATCAACACAGAGCCTAAAGTGGGGTTTGAACCCACAAACTGTGAGATCATGGCCTGAGCCAAAGTCGCTTAACCGACTGTGCCACCCAGGCACCCCCCACCCTTGGAATTTCTGAGTCAAATTTTACTAAAAATTCCATTAGAGTAAAAATGTTTAAGTAACTTAAATATTTCTAAATGTAAAATAATGACCCACTTATATCTTATATTTAATTTAACAGAGTTCTGATACAGGTCCTGAGTTTGGTATTTCATCTGTATTTTTTTTTTTTTTCCCTAAAGATTTTATTTTTAAATAATCTCTTCAGGGCGCCTGGGTGATCCAGTGGGTTGAGGTTCTGACGCTTGATTTCAGCCCAGATCATGATCTCATGGTTCATGGGTTGAAACCCTGCGTTGGGCTTTGTGCTGACAGTGTGGAGCCTGCTTGGGATCCTCCCTCTTCCTCTGGCTGTGCCCCTCTCCAACTTGCATGTGCACGTGCGCGCACTCTCTCTCAAAAATAAATTAATAAACTTAAAAAGAAAGTAATTTCTGCACCCAGCGTGGGGCTTGAACTCACAACTCCCAGATCAAGAATTGCATGCTCTACTGGCTGAGCCAACCAGATGCTCCCATCTGTATTTTAACTAAATAATCATAGATTTTAAGCTTTCCTAAAGGTAATATTTTGTCCTGATTTGAGTTCTTAAGTCCTACTAAGGTTATGATGGCTACCCAGCTTGTGAAGTAGTAAGGTAAGTGATAGAAATACAGTCAGGAAGTATCATTTGGTGACCAGGGTGTCACAAAATTTTATAAGATTTTTGTATTTGAGTGTTATAGGTCACATGCTAGGGGCGCCCGGCTGGCTTAGTCAGTAGAGCATGCAATTCTTGATCTCAAGGCTGTAGGTTTGAGCCCCATATTGCGTGTAGAAGTTAATTAATAAAATCTTTAAAAAAAAAAAAAGTCACTTTCTTATCCTCAACACTGTCATTTTATATACCCTCTGATGTCCAGTGGCCTTGATTCATTAAAATTCAAACTCCATTCCTCAAAAGATTGGATCACAGTTTTTAGGTTGTTGAAAATATTCCTGGCTTTTAAATTTGGGTTCATTATATCAGTTGTCATTTAGAGTGACTAAAGGGAGGTGGTATGGACATAGAAATCTACCATGCTGCTAATTTTTTTTTGAAACACAGCAGGGACAGGAATTAGGAAAACACCTCTCACTCAGTAGAGGAAAGGTAAGAGGTTCCCAGAAAATTCAGGATTATCTTGACAAAGCAGTGAACACTTGAGTATGATTGAAGAAAGGTTATCTAGTGCTAAATTTGGTCAGAGGATTTTCTACATGAAATGAAAGAACTGTGTGCTGTGACTATTGGAGCATTGGACTCCTGAGGAATGTATAGGCCTACCGTGGTTGCCCTTTTTCATGTTCTTCACTTTTCTTCATTCCCAGATCTACGAAATCCAGAGGCAGCACTGTCTCCCACCTTCCGCAGTGACAGTCCAGTGCCTGCTGCACCCACTTCTGGTGGCCCTAAGCCCAGTACAGCTTCAGCAGTTCCTGAACTAGCTACAGACCCTGAATTAGAGAAGAAATTGCTGCACCACCTCTCTGATCTGGCCTTAACATTGCCCACTGATGCTGTGTCCATCCGTCTTGCCATCTCCACGGTAATGACCTGATAAGACAGGGTTGGGATGTACCACTTCTTTTCTTCAGTTCATGGTCAGTGTTTTATTGCCTTCCTTTCCTCTCCTTCCCTAGCCAGATGCCCCTGCCACTCAAGATGGGGTGGAAAGCCTGCTACAGAAGTTTGCAGCTCAGGAGTTGATTGAGGTAAAACGAGGTCTCTTACAAGATGATGCACATCCCACTCTTGTGACCTATGCTGATCATTCCAAGCTCTCTGCCATGATGGGCGCTGTGGCAGAAAAGAAGGGCCCTGGGGAAATAGCAGGAACTATCACAGGGCAGAAGCGGCGTGCAGAGCAGGACTCAACCACGGTAGCTGCTTTTGCCAGCTCTTTGGCCTCTGGTCTGGCCTCTTCAGCATCAGAAGCAACCAAGGAGCCAGCCAAGAAATCAAGGAAACATGCTGCCTCAGATGTCGATCTGGAGATAGAGAGCCTTCTGAACCAACAGTCTACTAAGGAACAGCAGAGCAAGAAGGTAGGGGTAGATGGAAATGCTTTCACACATACATGTTTTTGTTTTTTAAGATTTTATTTTTAAGTAATCTTTACACCCATTATGGGGCTTGAACTTAAAACTGCAAGATCAAGAGTTGTATGCTCTACCGACTAAGCCAGCGAGACACCCCTCACACATACACTTTGAATTATAGTTTTCATTGGGAGGGTTTTACCCCTAGGGCAAGCAAGGTGCAGTTCTTAGAGTTGAGGGTTTAGAATAGTGGTTCTCAACTGGGGATAATTTTGCCCCCCACCTTACTCCTCCCAGAGAACATTTGACAATGTCTGGAGACATTTTGGTTGTCACAACACAGAGGAGTGCTACAGGCATTCTAGTGGGTAGAGACAAACAATGTTGCTAAGCATCTTACAATCATAGTAGGATAATCCCTACACAACAAAGAATTACTTAGCCCCAAATGTCAGCAATGCCAGTGTTGAGAAACTGATTTAGAGGATGTTTGTCATTGGATCTGTTTGGAAGAATCATCAGATCAAGAGAAGAGGAATCCAAATTTAGAAATAGAGGGAGATGAATGGAGATGAATACTGGAAGGTAGTTACATGGATTATTAATAAATATGGAAACAGAGGATTAAAGAGTGTGACCACAGTTACTGTGGTTCTGATATAAATATCAGACCCAAATGAGTTCTTATCCATTTACTACTTCTAGCTGTGTGAATCTGAACAAGTTAACTTCTCTTGAGCCTTAGTCTTCATCTATAACGTAAGGATAACCAGAGTACCTCCCTTCTAGAATTGTTGCAAAGACTGAGCTAAACAGTAAAGTGCTTAGCACTGTGTGTTGATTATAAAATATAAGTGGTTTTGGTGGGAAGGATTGCTTTCCTGGAGAAGGGAAGTTAGCTTAATGCTTAGCAGTAGGAACCAGGCTTCTTATATTTTAATTTCATCCCAAATGTGGATTTGTGAGAAAGAACTGAACCCATGACAAATCTCTTCTCCTAGGATTCTAGTTTTCTCATTTTAGGTTAGTTCATTCACCCCTTACAACAGGACATTTGTTAGGTAGAATTTGGAGAGGTGGTTTAGGGATCATTTTATCTGCAAACCCTTTTAAGTCCAAGGCTTCTTCTGTCACAGGTCAGTCAGGAGATCCTCGAGTTATTAAATACAACAACAGCGAAGGAACAATCCATTGTTGAAAAGTTTCGCTCACGAGGTCGGGCCCAAGTACAAGAGTTTTGTGACTATGGAACAAAGGAGGAGTGCATGAAAGCCAGTGATGCTGATCGGCCCTGTCGCAAGCTGCACTTCAGGTCTCTTGGGAGGGGGAGAGGTGGGGTGGGTCTCCTGGAAGCAGTCATCCATTTTCAGGACGTTCCTTCCTGTTACTGGGATTCTGTCTTTAATCCTATTATTCAATGTTTTTTTTTTTTTTTT